AGTTCAATGAAATGAGAAAAAGAAAATAAGAAAGGGAGAAATAGGGTAAATCAAAAATAAGAAAAACAAATTTAGACAGTTTACACAGATTTAAGAAGCCAGATCCCCAAACAATAAACTCTTTCGAGGAAATGACATAGGAAACTGTCTAGTGAGTGACCAATATTTAATAGGAGAGCAGTTTGGGGCAATAATCAACTTGGTGGCTATTCTCTTCCTATCAAACAGACTGTTCTTCCTATTGCCATCGATTGGAGAAACACAGCAATAAAGAGAACACAGAAAAGATGATATAGCCAGGTAATAAGGAAGAACATCTGGGACTTCCCAAAACATGTGTTTAGGGTAGGTGTATCTGTATATTTTTAGCATTTCGAGAGTCTGTGCAACAAGAAATTAAACAGCAAGAGATGGGACTATAGAACTATAGGCAATAAGATCTTATAATCAATTAAAGTATGGACTACGAGCAAATGAAGCAGTCATTATATACCGGGGTATATTTGAGCAGCAGCAGTTAAAAGATTGCTCTCACAAGAGCATTTTAAATGGAGAGTTGAGCAATATTAGATCAACAATACTTAACCTTGCCTTTTCCAAGGACATTCTTATTTAAACAGAGGTCAGAGAACTAAATACAAAGGATAATAGTGTAAGTGGAGTGGGTCAAACAATGAGGAAGAATTGAGAATGGCAATGACGAGATTTATCTGTTGTCCTAGAAATTGTACTAGATCCATAATTGTGTCTTCTACCTAAAGTGAAGGGCACATACAGGAAAAAAAGTAGTTTATGAAATGTTATGGATGGCTACAGAGGTGCTCTGGTGACACAATGATTAAAGTGCTTAGCTGATAATTGAAAGGTCTGTAGGTTTAGTGGTCCAAAACCACCAGTCACTCAGGGAGAAAAGACCTGATATTCTGCTCCGGTGAAGATTACAGACTAGGAAACCATAGTGGAGCAGTTCTTCTCTGTCCAATAGAATTATTAGGAGTTGGAATCAACTCCATGGTACATAGTAACAACAACAACATGGCTATGTATATGGGTAAAAATGTATTTACTTAGAATCCATTTTAAAACAGGGTGTTTTGTCGGGAGAAAGAGAGTTGCTTAAGGGTGAACAACACAGTTTTCTCATTAACAAGCTTCCAGTTTTTCCAGATCATTGATTCATTGGCAAAAAAGCAAAGCATGAATAATCGTTACTATATTGTGAGGTCATTAAGAAGAACTTCAACATGCCCAACTCATTCCCATTATGAAAAAAAAATAACTTGGACTATTAAAAACCCCACTATGAGACTGCATGTTTATTCATTCTTTTCCAACTAAATTTGATGACATTGTTCTAATGAAAACATGACTTTTCATTTAATTAAAGGATAAAGAGCATTTTAAAACCAGTTGCTATTATTTGTATTATTTATTCATAAGGTACTGTGTGATTGCAGAATTGTGCTGATAAAGACAAATATGTTCTCTTTATTGAAGAACTTAGAGTCCAAATATAGAATGGAAATTTAGGAACAACTTTAATTTCTCAGGATCATCCAAATGGACATTTTAATTGAAGGAGGTGAGTCCAAAAGACTCATTTTGTATACAGGACTGCTTATCTAATATTTATGGATTTTGTATCTAATAGCAGGTTGAGAAGAATCAGACTGTCTCAAATTGGGCTAAGTATAGGCCAAGTTTTTTTTTAACTGACAAATTGAGATGGATGCATATTTCATGAATCCAACAATATTAAACAAATGACAGAAACTCCAGTCTAAACACCAAATTGGTCAAAGACAGCAGAATCCCTTGGGTTTCACTGAACCATTAGCATTCATTCAGAGAACAATTCAGCTTAATACGAGAAGTGATGAAGTGATGTACTACAACAATTTCAGAAACAGCAGCATATACAATTTGAGAGTGTTACTTTTTCTCTTGAAGACATTTAAACTTTTATTTGGTGTTTCAATAACTATTTCTTGGTGTTCTTGTTTTTTTGTTTGCTTTGCTGTTGGTGGGTTAGAGTTTTTGCTAATCTAAATTTTATTTTGTGGATGAGATCCACTTTCCTTTTGAAGGATTTTTCCCCAAGCTTTCCCATTAAAGAAGACAGTTTACATTGCAGTTATAATGTATTATGGTTAAACTGAAAACTTAGGTCTCTCCATTCTTCATCCCTGCTTCCTATTACAACAGTTTTGAAATGCTTCAAACTTTCAAAAGCACCAGTGTTTTATTCCTCTCTGATGTTGTGTATAATTTTTCCTCTGTAAAGTTCTTCCTTCCATCTGCCTGACTTACCCCTTGGCTTTGAAAAACCCAGCCTATATGTTCTCTTCCTTACTTCTTTCTCACAAAGAGCGATCATTTCATCTTCCTTTATCTAAGACCTTACCCAGCTACCACGTACATACTTCAAATGCAATGTTGCAAGGTATTCCTTCTAAAATCTATTTCCCTTGGTTGGGGGGAGTGATCTTCTTTTTTACTTAGGACCTATATTTTATTGATCTCTATGTTTGCCTACACCACACCTTTTCCAGCCCATGATGATAACTCAAGAAATGTTGGATGCATTATTAATTAACATCCGTGTATTTCTCCAGCTCCATTAAAGAGTCACATTTTATTTCAAATCTAAAAGAAATTTGTTCACTATCTAAGACCAAAAGTGAATAGAAAGGATTTAGTGTCCTAACCAAGTGTTGCCCTCACCAACCCTGTCCCAGTTCCCTTTTAATTTAGGGAGTTGTTTTAGTCTTACAAATTCTGCTAGTTGAGAAATCAGTGTAACAGAACACATTAATGCAAGCAGGATTTGCTTAGACATCAATAAACTTGAAAGGCTCCCAGCAGGCCACTTGTAGTGTCAATAAATGCTCATAATTACTTGCCCCTTGGAGCATTTTAGACCCAAGCCACCAGTTTGCCTAGCCACGCGGAAGCGGCTCAACAACTCAGAGGCCCCTAACTTCCTAAATCCTAGGAGAAGAATTGCCAGCATTGAGAGGAACCTAGGGTTTCTTAACCAAAGGTAGTAGTAAGATAGTTGTCATTTTAAGCTGTCAGAAAACTTAATAACTCAGAACACTCAAGCGGGCAAGGGATTGGTTTTGGGTTTCACCATTTCCGGGTGTGGGGAGATGTAAACCTCCGGATCAGAGAGGTTGACCACTGAAACCGCTGTTCTTTCTGAAGGAACCAGGAATTCGAGAGAGGTTCTGAGGGGCGAAGAAGCTTGGACCCAGGTGAGTGTGGAAGAGAGAATTTGGGCTTCCAGCGTAGTCTCACGCTTGAGGTGCCTCCTCACTTACCTCCAACATCCCAAGATAAAGAGTAGAACTGAGTCTGTAAAACAAAGGGCGTAGCTGCAGTCCCTCCGGATGAGGACAGGGGACAAAAGGCAGTGGAGAGGTTAACGCAGAAGTGCAGAACTTTGAAAACTCAGAAAGTGCTCCAACCATTTTAATGGCTTTCTGATGCAAAATAAGTTACAAACGTCTTGTTGTCATGTGCCTTCCAGTCAGACCTCACTCATAGCGACCCCTCCTTGGGTTTCAGAGGCAGTATCTGGTAGCATAGTGGCTACAGCACTTGACTGCTAACCAGAAGGCTGGCGGTTCAAATCCACCAGCCACTCCTCGGAAGGAAGATTGGGCAATCTACTTCCGTAGTGATACTGCCTCGGAAACCCAAGGAGGGGTCGCTATGAGTCGGGGCCGACTCGATGGCAAACAACAACAACAACATCACTAGGGAAGTAGATTGCCCAACCTTCCTTCTCAGGGGTGGCTGGTGGGTTTGAACCACCAGGCTGCTGGTTCGCAGTTAAGTGCCTTAGGCACTATGCTCTAGAGCTCCTAGAAACCTCTTGTTATATGCCTTGGAGTCGACCCGACTCATAGCGATCCCTCCTTGGGTTTCCGAGGCTGTATCACTACGGAAGTAGATTGCCCCATCTTCCTTCCGAGGAGTGGCTGTGGGTTTGAACCGTTTTAGGAGGGTGAAAATAAAGGGCCAAATGCTTATTATTGCGACTTTTAGGAAGGAGTTTTCTCTTCCTTCTTTCGTTCCTATCCTCACTTCGCGTGCGAATGTTAGTGTGGACGGACTTGAGTTTAAAAGTGAAGTGGGTAGTAGCTGCAGCCTATTTTTTCCTCCGAATCCTATTTATCCTCAATGAATTTCGAGTAGAATCAGAGTTTCTTTGATTTTGGGTGAGAAGTTTCCAAATGGAAATGAAAGAAAGTCACATAAATAACCATGAAGTTCCTAGTGACACCCTTGTTAACCCCTTCCTGAAGCCAGCCAGGATTATCACTCATTATTCTCTTTGGGTGTACGGTCTGCGGATCGGTTCACAATTCCAGATTAACTGTGTACGACATATAAAACTCCTCTGCCTCTTAAACTCGACCTCTCCGGTTTCAATCTACTTTAGGGGGTGTGCCTGGATGTGCTTGTGTGCTCCTGTGTGAATGTTTAATTTAACAAAGACTCAGAAGAAGCTACCCTACCCTTTCAGCCCCTCGCCCACAGCTCTATCCAAAGCATTCCTCTGTCGGGACGTACATCTAATCTTTTCCCAGCAGAGTTGCCATCTCCAAGCTCAGGGGAATAGAGCATCTTGGCGCTCTGGGCTTCAGGGAGCCAGCGCTTTGGTGGCCCGGGAAGGCAGCCTGACCCCCTGGAGCGTTGGGCTCTCCAATGGATATGCGCGCGCTGCTGAGTGCAAGTATGTGCGTGAGTGTGTGTGTGCGTGTGTGGGTGTGTGTGTAAGGGTATGACAGAGAGCTTCCTCCTCTGGCAATGTGCAGGCAGAGGCGACGGCGATACTCTACAAGCGGCTGCAGGCAAAGCAAGGCAACAGCAGCCTCCGCCCCCTCAGTCCAGCGATTGGCTGGTTTTGCTCATCATTTCCCTGCTAGGAAGAGGGAAGGGCCAGTGACGCCCCCGAGCCCAGCTGCAGAAGCGGCCGCCACCTCCAATGCACAAGGTAGCTCATCTGAAAAGAAACCTGAGCCCTAGGGAGTCGGCACCGAGCGACCCCAGCAGGGCAGGGGCAACCCGCGCGGGCCGGCACTGGTCAGCGCGTGAGGACCGGGGCGAGCTTGGCCGCCGCTGACCCTCAAGATCTGCTCCTGGGATCCGGCTCCACGCTCTCTTCGCATTTTACAGATCTATCCCCGCGGCTGTATCTCCTCAAAACGGAGCCTTTATTTTCAGATAAGGTGTGGGAACTGGAGCCGCCAGGACTTTCCCGGGCACCCAAAATGCGCTCCATCAGGAAGAGGTTGACGATCTGCACGATAAGTCTGCTCTTGATCTTTTATAAGACAAAAGAAATAGCAAGAACTGAGGAGCACCAGGAAACGCAACTCATTGGGTAAATGCAAAGCTTCATTTTAGGATATGATAAAAAGTCAAGCCATGAATGACATGAGAATATAGACAGTAGAATAAGGATTGGGGTAGTGTGTGTGTTCCTGTGTGAGCTTGTGTGTGTTTAGTCCGTAAATTAAATAACAAAGGTGTTTGTTGAGGTGTGTGTGAGATTCTCCACGCAGCTCTTCCCAGTAGGAGTTCAACTTGCCCATTGCGGTAGTGGTGACAGTTATATTGGCGCCCAGGGATCCGCAAGTCAAAGGAGAAGTCATTGCTGAAGTGTCAACAAAGAACGTGTGCCCTTGTCTTTTTAATCCGTGGGTCAAACTCAAGGGAGATGTCTTTATTCACCATCCCGTTGCCCTTTCTTCTTTCTCTGTCCTGTCACTCTAGGAATATATTAGTGAAAGCTGGTTGCCTGAAATGTTGAACTTAAAACCCAGAAAGAGGAAATCTCTCTCTCTCTCTCTCTCTCTCTCTCTCTCTCTCTCTCCTGTTTCTCTGCTCTTTGCTTTGGGTAGAGTTCTGCATCATAATTTGAACTAGGACTCCAAGTGCCTTACTTGCTCTTCCTTGGATAGAAGCATAGGTAAAATGCATGGGTGGCATGGGATTGCGTTTTAGAAACTGGTACTGTAGCTTCACACAGATTGTATTTCTGCTGTTTCTTTAGTTTGTGTAGATGAGTTCAGAATTGCCACCTCCTCCCATTAAGTTCTCTAAATATCACACTTCCTTCCTCCCCCACCCCTCCTCTGGCCTGTGTGTGTGACTTTGAAGTTTACCCAGGAGGTGGCTGCAACTTTGTGTTTCTGATATAGCTTGGAAGTGTTTTCTGAGGATGTGAACCTGGTTGTCAACTCTGCTGAAAGTCTTGTTTAGGAAATCCTCCCTCATCCGGAGGCGCCTGCTATAGGAAACTCCACACTAACGGAGACGCCCCACTGGTTTTGATTTTCCCAGACATTTATTAAAAGGAGAGTGATCCCTTTGCCATTGTGTGTGTTTGTATGTATGTGTGTGTGTCACAGGACTGATGAAACACATGCAAACACACCCTTAAACTTCATGCGCTCCTGTTCTTAATATTCTTGCTTTTCCCTAGGCAATGAGCATTTAAGTGAGCAGGGCGCAGGTTTATCCTTACAGGAGGAATTACTATTTTATAGAAATGGAAAATAGCAGAAATACATTCGAAAGCTACCGAAAGCGAATGAAAAAGCTAATGAGAAATGGGCCGGTTGGTCATTGTGCACATTGTGCATCTACAAACCACTAAAAGATACGTTCTAGGAAAAAAAAAAAAAAAATTATATATATATATATATATATATATATATATATATATATGCTGAAATGTATGAGATTGCGCAGGAGATGAATTGTTTGAAATTTCTGCCAAGCTCAGTTGTCTGAAAAGAAGCCCTTCGGGCGGGGTGTGAGCATCTCCAACAGACCTGTGCTTCCAGGCAGACAAAAGGGTATTTAGGAAGGTGATGAATGGGCGCGTGGAGGCTCATGTGCCAGGGAGAGGCAAGGGCTTGAGGTTCTAAGCTCTTTGTTCCCCTTTGAGCTGGTGGACTCCTAGGATAAATCTGAATCAGGACAAAGCCGCCAAGCCTTGCTAGAACACAGAGGGTTCGGGCCTTGGCTGGGACCCTGGAGAGCAGGAGTAGGCGGGGCCTGTGAGGCAGAGGGGGTGCCAGAGATCGCTGTCGCGTCCTCTCCCGGCTTCCAGAAACCATTCACAGTAAAAGGAGTGCACACCAGGAACCCCCCCTCCCGCCGCCAGAAGAAAAAGCGGACTCAGGACCCCTCCCACAATTCAAAGGTAGTATTTTTCCTGTGACCCTTTCCTAGACATCGCTGGCCCATGGACGCAGCCCTGGGCACAGAGGAAGAGGAGGCGGGCACTGTCGCGGCGGTTGGACTAGCGTGGCTGGGTTTTCGCTGGCACCCTTTTCGGGGCTGGGCTGCGGTTTCCTCCTAGGTCCTCTGAGAAAGCATGAGGCTGGCGCTTGAGTTAACCAAACAGGAAGAGAGGTGCACAGCAGTCCGGTCCTCTCCTCCCCAAATGAGTGCAAAGATGGGAGGAATCATATTTAAAGAGGGAATCGGCCCCCTTTGGGGCTGACAAATAAATAAATAAATGCATAATACACACAAACACACACATATGGGAATTCAAATTCACCTCCTCCTTCTTAATTAAAATCCACAATTACACTTCTGCTGGACCAGGTTGAGATCTGGTTGCAGGTGTTGCTCTTCTACCTCCAAGTACTTCTGGAGACCTTGGACTTGGCGCTGCTGCTAGTGCTGAGGGACAACTAATCCCTCTGAGCATTCTTTTTCTTTTCCTCTAGGACGAAATCTTCATTAGGAAAAGCCTTTACAAAAAGCTCATAATGTCTCAACTCCCAAATAGTGTTTTTGGTGGGAAGAGTTGACTCATCAAATCATCTAATCATCTCATTGACTCTCTAACCAAGCCATGTGGAGAAGCCAATTTTGAGATAGTAAACAAGAGAGGAGATTTGGCACCAGAGCCCTGGCCAGGGCCAAGCATTCAAAAGTGAGGTAACAGAGGCAGACTCTGGCCTTTGGGGGGCACTGCATGCCTTGTGGGTGAGAAGTAGGTTTAATTAAGGGTGTTCCACAGACCTTGGATCTTAGAACATCCTTCTGGACTCACATTTAGTTTCCCTGTCACTGATTTGCAACAGGCGCTTCCTTTTTCTTTTTTAACATCCCATCGCTGGGGGGGGCCCATCTAGAGCTAGTGCAGTAGTGCTATTCCACATACTGTATTAAGCCATCATCATTCTCTGCAAAGGGAAGAAGAGAATACCTCCTGGACTTTTCCACCAACCACCCACATCTTCATATCTCCAGAAAATACTAACAGCATGTCATTGTTTTAATAAGGAATTGTTTTTGAATAAGTCAAGTAATAATTATTGGACATCTAAAATTTCTGTTTTCTTCACATAAAACAATTAAATACCTGAAATGATGATTAGTTAATGCTTAACTCAAAAGGTAGCAAGGGTTTTAAGTGCTCTATTATTAACCGAACAAGTTTTTCTTAGTGGGAGCAATGACTCTTGCCTCACAACTGCCCTATAATTTCACTGGCTTTGTATGCTCTTTTGGGTACAACTGGAAATATGTTAACTCAGGGTCATAAAGATAACATATGAGAATATGCTCATTTAATGAAATAATCTGAAAGTGTACCATAAACTTATACATCCTTAAATAATGCTACATATTATTTCTGTACTGGGCCACAATTGGACCTTAACTTATTTTTCTTGTTGTCTAGAGGTGTCTTTTTTAATTTGACAATCCATTTTAGTTTGTCTCTATAAGTGATCATCAGTATTAGTTCTAAAAGTGTATGATGGAACTGACAGTGAAGATGAACATTCATACTTAGAGTATTACAATTAACAGCAAAAAGTTAAAGTTGCTCTTTGTTTTAGGGTAGAGCCACCCCTGTAAATCAGGAAATTCAGATTTTCCATTTCATTTCTCATGTTATATTTGTAATTCTGCTAAAAACCATAAGCAGTAAGTAAAGGTAGAACATTCCATCTTTATTTTTAGTTGTTTGACATTTAGGCAATGAAAACACAAAAGTGCCTGGTTTTTGCTCAAGTTTAGTTTTACTCATGTTCTTTTCTTTTAATTGTTTTTCAGTCTTATATTAAGAAGAGAGTTTAACCTCTCCCCAAGGGAACACATTCATTCCAGAGCCATGTTGTAAAGAGTTTTCACTAGGGTTGAAGCAAGCCTTTTGAGACCTAATTTCATGAAAAGAAATTAATAATATTTGGTTATATACTGCAGATCTAGTAGAATAAATTGTGGTGATATTTAGCAAGTCATATGTCAAAGATAAGAGTGGTTGTAGGTACTAGTAGTGGGCCACATTTCCTTATGTTATACATAAGATTGGTATGAATTGAAAGCTCAACAACAATGAACAACACCAACTATCATAACTAATGATCAGTTCCTGACACTAGTATCTCATAGATAACTTAGTGGATTTTTCTTAGCTTCATAGAAGCAGGACTACTTTGTAATATATTGCATTATGCTCTGTGCCTCCCAGGATGGGTTTTGTTATTTTTCCTCTAGAAGTATATATTGAATATTGCCGTGGATAGGCCTAAGTGCAGCTGTTTAGAAATCACAGACTCTCTGGAATGAGAAACGATTAGGGGTCGTAACATACTTCATTCCTTGCATTCACAGGAAAGAAAGTCAGAATTTTCTAAGACAGAATTCTATCAAGGTCATAAATGAAAAATCCTTTGGGGCCCATTTAACATTATAAAAAGAAATTTGCTCTAAATCCTCAAATTGTACTAAACTTGACCTTTTCACCTATTGTTGTTAGGTACTGTGGAGTTGGTTTTGATTCACAGTGACCTATGCACAACAAAATGAAATGTTTCCTGGCTTTCAACCATCCTCACAACTTTTGTTATGTGTGAGACCATTGTTGCAGCCGCTGTGACGATCCATCTCATTGAGGAACTTCCTCTTTTTCTCTGACCCTCTGCTTTACCAAGCATGATGTCCTTCTCCAGCAACTGATCTGTCCTGAAAACATGTCCAGAGTACACGAGACAATGACTTGCCATCATCTCTTCTAAAAGGAGCATTCTGTCTGTACTTCTTTCCAGATTGATTTGTTCATTCTTTGGCAGTCCATGGTATATTCAATATTATTTGCCAATACTATATTCAAAAGTATAAATTCTTCTTCAGTCTTCTTTGTTCATTGACAGCTTTCAGATGAGTGTGAGATTACTTACTGACAATGCCTTAGCTTGATTCAGGTGCACCTTAGTCCTCAAGGTGACATTTTTGCTCTTTAATACTTTAAAGAGGCCATTTGAAGCAAATTTGCCCAATGCAGTATGTCATTTGATTTCTTGACTGCTGCTTTCATGAGCTTCTCACATGTGAATTATGTTAGCTATCATAAGAAATGTGCACAGTTGTAGCTACTTTTATTCAAAGTTTTTCTAGTGACAAAATTCTGAAATTTAGCCTAATACCAGTTCAATGAAAATAATCCAAACAGCACAGTAACATGACAGCATTGCATTGTTTTCTAACTGACTTAACCTTTTAAACATTTTTTTTTCCTTAAAGTTTCTGAAAAGGGTCCCTACACTAAGTAGACCATGCAATAATTCTGTCATGTAAAAAATGTGTCTGTATCTACATAGTCAGTAAAGAGGTCTAAAGATTTGGGGTGGGGGGAGAGAAAGAATGAAAACCACCTCATGCATGTTTTTACTTTTTTTGTGAATGTTCATTGGTCGTGGAAATAATTATTATAATCATATAGCAGTCTCTGCTTAGAACAAGGTGGTTTTACAGTTATTTAAAGGATGACGATTAGAAAGATTTTTCACCCATAGAAATGGTCATAGTTTGTGTTGAAAATCTAGATGGTATTTCTCAAAAAGTGTGAAGGTTAACATCTTCCTATAGCCACATTTTCATTCATATGCAGTTATTATCCTTAGACATGTAATATAAAAATTGACTTATTAGGCACTGAGTAGTAAATTGCATCCTATGTTTCCTAGTATCTTAAGTGACCTCTGTAAAATGATTATTACTATCCATACATAGACAGGCAAATGTATCACTTTCATCAGTAGGATAGTTTAAAATATTACTTTACAGGGTTTTAAATTCCACAGAATATAGTTGTATATTTTGCTTTGTGCTGCTTCAAATTTGTACCACATCTTTAGAAAAGAATGTGAACCAAAATATCAAACTGTAATCCTCCAATTACAGAATTCAACAAGTGACTAGTATATAGACAAGATTTCTGTTGACAGTATGAGAAGATTGCCTACATAATAAACACAGAATTAGACTTTCCAATGAGCAAAGAGTCATGTTACCTTTTACTATGTTTTTCAAATTCTAAAAAATTAAAGGTGACATGTAAAGAAATACATGTACATATTGAAGAGCCATGTTTTCTGTTTGTATGCCATAAGCAAGTGAATTTTTGATTCTGAGTCTGTATTCAAACCTGTAAACACCTGCTGCCATCAAGTTGATTCTGACTCATGACATCTCCATGTGTGACAGAGTAACTTCTCCAGAGGTTTTTGTTGAATGTAATCATTATAGAAGTAGCTAGCCCTTTCTCCCAAGGAACCACTGGGTAGGTTCAAACTGCCAACTTTCAGGTTGGCATCTGATCATAAACCATTTGGACCACCCAGGGATGTTCACACCTACAAATGTCCCCAAAATAATAATAATAATAATAATAATAATAATAGTTTGTTGAACAGTGAGTTTGTCAGCTATACATAACTGAATAATATAAATGACATTATAGTCATCTATCACCATCATTGCTACCCACTGCCAGTACCTCTGCTAACCACATGTTGTTGTGATGTGCCCTGGAGTCAGATCCAACTCATAGTGACCCCTCCTTGGGTTTCTGAGGCAATACGTGGTAAATTAATATGACACTATTGGTTGAAGGGGGTAGCTTAGTTAATATTTCAGTGTAGTAGCAAATATTAAAGACCGTTGAATAAGTTTTCTTCCCACAACAACCCTTGTTTTCTCCCACCACTAACTATTAAGGAAACTTCCTCATTGTTGAGATGCTTTAAGGCCAACACAGTTTAAAAAATTGGTATTTCAATGTTGTTGTTGTTGTTGTTATTTGCCATCGAGTCAGCCCCGACTCATAGCGACTCCTCCTTGGGTTTCCGAGGCAGTATCACTACGGAAGTAGGAATGCCCAACCTTCCTTCCGAGGAGTGGCTGGTGGGTTTGAACCTCCAGCCTTCTGGTTAGCAGTCAAGTGCCTTAGGCACTATGCTAACAGAGCTCCTTGGTATTTCAATAGTACATTTTAAATGATTTTCATTTACAGAGTCTCACTTAATTCTCACAAATTTATTATATAATGTTACTATAATTTTCAAGTTAAGGTGAGGCCACTGTGGACTATAAAAATGATATGACTTGTTCAGGAACACTGGGCTAATGAGTATTAGACTTACAAACATGCCTTTTGGAATATCATCACCTGATATTTCAAGGGAATCTTCCTCCAAAACAAAAGTTCTTTCCATTATTCCTCAATGCTTTCTGGGAAAATAAAATTACTTTCTTGAGTATAACAATTGTACAGATGTACAGGAATTGAGCAAATATCCTGTCTCTATTGTCTGAATGGGGAAGTAGAGGGGAGGAACGGTGTGTGTGTGTGTGTGGGGGGGGTAAGAGCTTTGATGAGTTTTTGTTGTTGTTTCTTTAAGAAGCACAGAGACCTTTATTTAGTATGAAAATAGTCTCATTTCAAAAGGATATGCATAGGTGTTTTTCTGGATAAAGTTATATTTACTTCATCATTATGATACCCATGAACATCATGTTCTTGACTCTCCATCTAATACACAGATCAAATTTTATCTGTAACTTTTCACTACTAAGATAAATAAATTATTTTTCATGCTACTTAAACAAAATTTTTCTTACTTTCACAACACTAGCTTATTCTTGTTTGTTTGTTTCAGAGATGGTGAACTGTGTTTGAGTCGATCGCTTGTCAATAGCTCTGATAAAATTATTCGAAAGGCTGGATCTTCAATCTTCCAGCACTCTGTAGAAGGTTGGAAAATCAATTCCTCTTTGGTCCTGGAGATTAGGTGAGTTTCTTTAATAAGGCATAATAAATTTAACATACTTGTGAAATGTTGGGCTTGGCAAAAGTATATTGAAGAGTTGATTTATAGTTTAAGTATGAATACTTTAATAAAAGAGTGAACCAACTCTACTTACATTGCTCACTGAAGGATATGAATCCATGAAGCTGGAATCCCCATACAGTCAGAGGTTTAAGAATAAATATGTAAGTTTTGAATATAATGTCTTTATGCTATTAGAATAAAAAAAAATCAACAGAGTATTAAAATTTAGCACACTTTCTTTTCTGCTTCCATTACTCAAAATGGACATATAATTTAGGAATTATCTTTAATTTCTTCCCTATTGATGGTTCATCCTGATCTTGTATTTTATTACACTAGATGAAAGTGTTGTTTATTCAGCTTCTATTTTTCTGACAATTATAAATGAATTTGGTCTGTCCTGTATATGAGTAGTTCTGTGTGAACACCTGTAATAAAAATGTCAATAATTAAATCTCAAATGGGTAAATAATCAGAAAATAAGCTTTTTAGAACACTACCATTTCTTTGGAAGCATTTGGCATTTTAAATGAAACATCAACTCATAAAATCAAAACCAATGTCTATACATATCCATTGTCTCATGTTCTTCTATGATAAACATATTAATAATAAAAAAAAAATAGGATTTGACTTTCCTAACTATGCAGCTGGAAAAGTAGGCCAATTTCCTCTATGGTTAAACTGATGTGCTGCTTATGTCTAAACCAGATGTTTCAGTTACCTAGTGCGCTCTGAGAGGAATATACCAAAAATGGGATGGCTTTGACAAACAGGAGTTTATTCTCTTATGGTTTGGAGGCTTTTAGTCCAAGTTCAAAGTGCCAGGCTCTAGGGGCTTGGTGAAAGTCACTCAACCTTGGGTTTCAGCTCTGCCTTCTGGTCCTGGCCCTCTAAAACAAGAGGCTTTTCTTCACTCAGCTGCTGGCTGCTGAGGCTGACAAGCCCAAGGTTGACAAGTAAAAAGGCACAGTACTAATGTTACCAAACAACATGGTAAGCCACTAATTCAAGTCCAGGTGAAGTCCCAAGATCAGCAGGGCTGCTGAACAATGACTCTGCTAATTGTAAGATTCAAGCCTGCCAAAAGGCTAGAAACCAATCCCAAAGCTTCTCATATACAGGAAGCAGACCATATCTGTAAAGCTGCTTTTGACAAATTCCTACATGGAGTTGATCACCAGTTTTATCATGGGGGATAACTACCTCCAACTGCCCAGCCACTCACTCAACCAGGCCCAGCCAAGTTGACAATAACCTTAACTACCACACCAGAACATTTTGGCAAATCAAAACTCCTTAAAAGTTTTATAATCTATAGGGAACCAGACTGCTATATCTTTCTTCCATGGAGCAGCTGGTGAGTTTGAACTGACAACCTTTCACTTAGCAGTTGAATACTTAATCATTTGCACTACCAGGACTCCTTAATGACAGATGTTGATGTTGTTGTTATGTGCCGTGGAGTTGGACCTGACTCATAGCAACCTCTCCTTGGGTTTCGAGGTGATATCACTACAAAAGTAGATTGCCTAACCTTCCTTCCGAGGAGTGGCTGGTGGGTTTGAACCACCAGCTTTCTGGTTAGCAGTCAAGTGCCTTAGGCACTATGCTACCAGAGCTCCTTAATGAGAGAGAGTAATGTAAAATAAGCATGGTAATGGTTTAATATATCTAGTTATACTAAATAATATATTAAACATAACAACATCTATGGCTTAGACACTACACCACCAGAGCTACCAACAACATCTAATATGTAAATAATTAACTGACAATTATTATACCTGGCCAAGCTTTTCTAATATATGTACAAAAAATGGATGTGTGTGGTATTTAAGGTTATGTGATAACTTGGTTGGACCTGATTTTGAATGGCTGAGCAGCTGGATATAATTAGTCCCCATGATGAGGCTGGTAATCAACTCCATGATGGAATCTACTGTGAGCAGCTGAGTAGCTGCTTTAAGGATGTGGTCTGCTTCCAGTATATAAAAAGATGCTTTAAGAACGGTCTCTTGAGCTTTCTGGCACATTTGGAACCTGTGTTTAGCTGATTCTTCATCTCAGTGGCCTGCTGTGTTGTTTGATGATTTGGAACTGTTTCTAGACTTGAACTAGTGTCCTGCCATGTTGCTTGATAATCTTGGGACTGTGCCATTTTCTTTCTTGACCTTGGGTTTGTCAGCCTCAGCAGTCAGTAGCTGCCTAAGAGATGCTTCCAGCTCCAGTGGGCCAGGAACAAGAGGCAGTGCCAAAGTCCAAGGTCGAGGGCCATTCCCTCAGCCCCTAGAGTTTGCACTTTAAATTTGGAATTCTAGCTTCTAAAACTGTAAGAGGATATATCCCTTTTTGTTAAGGCCATTCACTTGTGGTATTTTCTCTGAGAGCAGCACAAAAGAACCATAACAGATATCAATATATGTTTTGTTTTTAGGATGAAATTCAAGTTAAGGATGTTAAGCATACATTGACTAAAACAATTGAGTATTATAATTTTACAAATCAATGAGGATTGTATGTGTATATTTGAAGGTAATCTATTTTCAGTGATTACTGCCAATGACATGACTGAAATGTTAGTACTATTTTTAAATTGCTCTCCTTAACAGATAAAGAAGCAAATATTGAATAATACATAGGAAGTTGTCACTTCTTTGAAAAGGTAGACTAATTTGTAAAACTATTATTGTACCATGTGTAAACAGTTCATAAAAATAATAATTGCCTATAAGAGGCAGTGGCTAGTAAGTATTAATCAGTTTGACACCTGTAATAAATAATTTAGAATATGAAAATGTCTGATTGTTGGCTTAGCTTTTGCAAATATGTTTTCTTAAAAAATCATACTGGAAAGAAATCATAGAGTATCTTAGGTTATTATTCTTCTCTTCTGCTTCCCCACATCTCTAGCATTTATGAAGAACCATATTGCTTTGTGTCTGTGAGTGGGTGTGGGCATATATTACAAGTGTTTTAAAAATGCAACTTTGAAATGTTCGAGACATACAACTGATTATTTTTAATCTTATATGATTGAAATATGCTTACACATTTTTCTCGTTTTTAAATATCTCATTAAACTTAAAATGCTCTTTGATATTTCTAACACATTATTTATCAATTTACATTAAAATGTGAAACAGTCACTGAAGATAAATTGTTTTTCCTATATTTATACACATAATTTTCCTTCTTATTATGAATTCCTTCAGAGTTCTTCTCCTCCACTACCTTCATAAGCATACCCAGAATGATTTACGTATATTTATTACACATCTGTACCTCTGGGGAGTTGTCTAAGAAAAGTGGTTCCCCGTATTTGTTCATTGTACTTGGAGATACATCAGGATTTAGAAAAGAGTTTACTCATTTTGCGGCTAAATTTGTAAGTTTGGCTCTAAAGGCTTGATTTTATTGATAGGGCAAGTATGACCTTTATTATTGTGAGTTAAGAAATGACACATTTAAGATTCATCACATGTGAGTAAATCTGTGAACTAAGGGATCCGTTGGTCATGTTCAACATTTTTTTACAACAGTTTCCATCTTTGGGTGCTTTCTTTTTTTGTCATGTTCCATGCATGGTATGGAAATCCAAAGAAGCAGAAGCACCATAAATGGACATAAAGAAATTTGTGAGCTCAGCTACTCCTCAGGAGAAATTAATCACATCCTAATTAGTCTGAGAAAAAATTTTCAACCCTTAGAATAATGATATATCAAAATTCTTGAACAGTCAAGGTTTTCAGGTTAACTAAACATAATTGCAAATTTCTATGTGCATACTTGCCAAAAAGATTTTTCTCTTTCATGTATGGCTTTGCTTTAGAAAAAGGTCTACTCATAATTCTTATACCATCTTCTACTTCAACAAGTTAACAGAAGAGCAACAGATAAGTGCTCTGTTGCTAAGTGGAAGACTGATGGTTTGAATCCACCCAGTGGGTCTTCAGGAGAAGGACCCAGCAATGTTCTCCTGATTACAACATTGAAAACCCTATGGGACAGTTCTACTCTGGGTCGCTGTGAGTCCAAAATATACATGGTGGTACTTAACCATAAAAAGAGCTTATCTGGTATTAACCATCTTGCTACAGGCAGAATCAATATTCAGTCCCAGGCATGTCTTACTGGAGGGCCAGATCTCTTATTACTGAGGGCACTTTTTGGAGGATTATACTTTAATAATAAAATTGCATGCTGTATTTGTTTTTTATAGAGTAAATGATATTTTTCTTTGCTCTAAAATAACAAAATGAGAGATACGGCTAATCAAATATTACCAAATGCTGAGCCAAATATCAAATGGGGTTGTGAAATATAAAGTAAGCTAAACATAATTTCCTTCAAGTTTTGGGGAACAATTTTGCCTCTTCATTTGGTTGCGATTAGGATTTTTCATTTGATTCTAGGATATCTTTCCTAAAACAGATAAGATCTTAGCTTGGAAGGTAATGCTCTTTTAGTGCTTAAATTGCCTTGCAGAAATAATCTTTTGAGACAAAGTTTGCATATTCTATATGATTTTTGTGGTAATAATGTAACATTTAGCACTTCTTAGTCTTTTTTTTTTTAGTAAATTGTGTCAGTTGAATTGATACAGTGATTTTTGTTCTAATCTCTGAGGCTTTATTTATCAGATAGTTTGACATTTTTAAAAATAATGAGAGATGTATAATTGAGAGTCCGTAGTATTAAGTAAAAAAGAAGCCACCAATCATATTGTTTTTCTTTAAAGTGGCATGATTTTGTGACTACTTATTCATTTATTTCAGTTGTTTTGTTTGACATTTGTTGTAAAAATAAAGCTTAACATGGCAACTATTGTTGCAATATGCTTATTCTTAAACTAAGTATTTTATTAGCATTAATATATTAAGATTGACCCTTCTTTCCTTCTTTACACCTTAATTTTGCTTGACTACCAATGCTACAATGAACTTGTTACCCAGATA